CTTACCGTGGGGTTCTGACTTACAAGAATATGAATTCAATTATATATATATATATATATATTCACATTTTCTTCCGAAAAAAATCTACCGTTCAGATGAGAACAGCTGCTTAGAAGTTATAACAGTCAGAAAAGAATTAACGCAGATAACCTGTACGGTGTCAGAGAATAAATGCTTAAAAGTAAGATCTTGAAACCTGTCCCGAGCAGATAATAAAAGTAAAACCTTGAAATTGACTCGCGCAGTTAATGAAAGTAAAACTGAAACCTGTCCCGAGGCAGATATTAAGAGTCAAACACGGAAACCTTTCTTGAAGCAGATATTAAATCAAACCTTGAAATTTGTCCCGAGAAAGATAAGAGTGGCGTACTTGAAAGTAATACCTCGAAACATTATCCTATCCAGATAAAAATACAGGTATCACCTGTAAACCCATACTAGATAAATAATAATGGTAATGGTAATACTTTGAAACATGTACTAATACCAAACCAACTAAGAATGACCAGGATTTTATCCAGACCGGAGGACAGAGGGGGGGAGTAGAGTCGACAGGGATGTTTTTAGCTTGTCTCTAGAAGCTGTGCGCCAAAGGCGCGGAAGGGTAGTGCTGATGAAAGTGGAGAAAAGGAAGGGAGGAACTAAACATGATAATTTTGGGAGTAAAATGATAATTGCAGGTTACGCCTGTGTAAATAACGTACTGGTCAACCATTGGGTAACTCGGTGGGATTGAGGTCGGATGTTACGCATCTTAGAGTCCTCTGCCAATATGATTTACCGGGGCTCAAAGTTTCTCTCGACGGACCTGGAGATGGGTACAGAGAAGGTGTTCTAAGGTTTCAACTATGGTGGGGGTGGGGCTGAAGCAGAACCCCACCTGCCACCGCATTTAAAATCCTTAGCAGACGATAGAAAATACAAATTTTTGTTTAATTTAGGCTAAACAAATGCTATTTTTTTATAAACTACAAAAACCACCTCATAGAATACACTACACAAACTTCCCCTCTAGGGTCACAAAGTGAAATCTACTCAAATTCCCCTCAACCAGCACTACCACATCATACACACAAAATTTGGTTACCCGTATGTAGAGCAGCCTAGTTTCTTCACGCTCAACCAATTACAGTACGCTTTACTATAATTCGGAATGTCGTAAACGTATGGCCGGAAGTGAATGACCTAAAATTTACGAAAGCATTTTTAAGCGCAAAACACTGTCTTCACGAACGGAAAGAAAAAAATAACTAATCGCTGCAATATTTTCCTGATTTTAACCATTACGTTTTATAAAATCATAAGAGTCGAGGAGGTCGGGAGAGTTGATGAACCCCCATCTACATCTGATACTGATGGCTGAACAGAAGGAAAAAGTGCTTAAAAGTAACACCTCAAAGTACGTAATCATTCAGATGGAACTAAAGTTTAATGTACTCAAAAGTAACACCTAAAAAGCTAGCCTATGAACTCTGAATATATATGACTAAACTCGATTAATAGGCCTCAATGAAATCCTTCGACCAGGACGAGGGTATCCAAAAGATAAATTGAACCTGTTTATAACTAAATTTAGTTTCTAGTATACCGGCTTTGACAATGTTGAGTAATAATTTATTTTTCCTTTCATTATTGATTTCAAATATTATAATATATAAATTTTTATATAGTACACTGAAAATAAATTTTTCTCTCTTTAATTCAATATACAAGGTAATCAAAAGCAAATGAGTGATTATGAATAAATGTTAAGCTGATTAAGATAATACCCTCTCACCCTCCCCCCCCCAAAAAAAAAACACACACAAATAAACATATACTTAGCCCAAACCAAACTGTATACTTAAAGAAACTGCAGATTGTAGATCTATATTTTTAAGGCCACATTGAAATTTTCACACAACTTGTTTTAGTTTCAGAAAGCATGTCACACTACCTAACAAGATTTCTGTACTATAAGTAAATTTTTTTTATCTTTCTTTAATCATTAAAAAGAGCTACGACAGCACATTATTCTTTTTAAGTTAAAGAAAAACAAGTTATGCACAGTTTTTCCCCCTCTCGTTCATTTTAAATGGTTTAAATTATTTTATAGTGTATCATACCAAAAATGCCTACTTTCAAATTTCATACATGTTCTAGTCTCAGGTGAATAATGTCAATCAGCTTGAAGCCAAACTGGTGCATTTATTTCATATAGGGAGTACTGGAAAATTCTGTGCTAAACAACTCCAGTCTGTTTGTTAATCTTTAAAGAATCTAGTATACTTGTATAACTACTTATTCAGCAATGTTTAACAACCTATTTCTGAGTCAACCAGATTACATGAAGTATTCCTCTCAGGCACATAACTGGCATTTCATAAACTCCTGCACATTTTATGAAACATGCATTGTCACATGACTAACCCAGTGATGTTCATCATCCCAAAAACTGAAAAGAACTGGAAGACACACAATTTTTTTTTAGTAGATGTAGAAATTTTTAAATGATATTATGTATTATTTTTTTATGATATTAGTAGAGATTATTGTGAAGCCAGTAATTACTGGGAACTGTTAGGATAACCAGATTTTCTGTTAAGATTGCACACATCTCAGAGGACATATGTGAGAAACATTAGGTTCAAAGCTTACTTGGAAGTGCAATGTAGCAAAATCCTCAACATGCTACCAGTGCATTAGATATGAATGCAATCATAACAGGATATTGGTTGCAAAGAAAGCAAGCTGTAAAATAGACTAAAGAAGAATTCCATTGGTGTTTACAAAATGCCAAACATCCAAATAGAAACATGTCTACCTAAAGGTATGTTTCCAGAATAATCAAAAAGTATGAACAGCCATGATAAGAGTGGTAAACTTGGGAAAAGTAGAAAACAACCATAACCACTATATCAAGGAAAAATCCATAGCTAAGTCTTCTCAGACCAAGGCTTACATATCCCTAAATTTTATTTCAACTTTTCAGTTTTGTTTGTGTTGGTAAGCAGAAATCTACAAAGTGGATTAGCTGTGCTATGCCTACCAGGGATATAGAAAACTAATTTTTAACATTATAAGCTGTCAGACTTACTGCAACTTTTACGGATCTCATGTGGACCCTACTTTCTTGTCAAAAATTATACAATTGGTCTGGTTGACTTAGAGATGTTATTAAACATATTAGGTTCCAAACTATGGTAAAAGTGACAAATATAGATACATCAAGACAGTACATAGATTATGATGGATATCACAAGATGTTTGGTTGTTTTTGGGTATTCATGGAAAGTTAATCAAAACCTACCTGCACTAATGGTGCTGTTTGGCTATGGGAAGAAAAAAATTGCTCAACGTAATTAATTTGAAGAATGATTTATTAAAGAAAGGAAAATGCACTGTTTACCTTTTTTTTTGAGGCTATGTCAAATATCATTTTGGCACATTTCCATGAGAAGAAGCATCACAGAACAAAATATACAAAAACTATAACTTGTATAATCTTACTGTGGAATTCCAAGTGTTTAATAAACATATATTATACATATAAAGGAAGCTTACCAACAACTTCTACTCAAGTTTAATTATTGAAAACAAAAAAACTTGTATCCACCATGGTTGAAATGTGTTCAAAATTAATAAAAAATTTTTACAAAAGACTGGAAAAATCTGCTTGAATTTGGCATAAAAAACTTTAGTACGTTTATTTATCTTTTTGCAATTCAATTAACACAATAAATATCAAAATCAGACTGCTTAATAATCTTCATTAATAAAAACTATGATAAATCTGTGATTTATACAACTAGGAGTCAAGTAGATTAACATGCACTGCTTACACACGTAGGTGACCTAATAAAAGAAATTTCTAACAAAACTAATTCTTTGATCCCATGATAGATAACTAACATGGACTAGTGTAGCCATTAATTCTAAATTTAAATACAACTGTTGACAAATAAATAAGAAAACACATTTTAACAACAATAGTGTTGATTGCAACTGGTACAATATCACCTCTAAAGACCAAACCCACCAGCTGGAAGGAAGAAATTCACTTTCAACTAAGTTAACATTCCTCATTACTGTATTACATGGAACTAACAGGATGATTTGCAACATTAACATTATACCATTATCTTTTATCCAAATTGATATGATAGTCGCAAGATGCAAGTCTTTTAAAAATAATTATGAAATACATTTCAATCACAAAAAACACCACCTTTTATAGATTCTAATACATAATACTAGTAATACTAACTAATGGGAGAGTAAAATGCTCGTATTTAGCTGTTTAATTTATATCGTAATTAATTTACATTACAGTAAATTTCACAAACCCCAACTAAGTTGAACTACGTTACATTAACTTAACAATAACAGTAGTTACATTGTTCCCGATATTTGTTATTGAACTTCTTCAGTATTTGATTATGTTACAATAATAACTGCTTATACAGATAATGAATTTGTGAGAAACCAAAGTGCTTTATAAATATACCGCTTACGTTAATTTAAAAAAAAAATTGGCAAGTCGCGAGCAATGACTACACCTAACATTCAAAAGTGACTGCGGTAGGCATTATACAATGCGTCACCAAGCAAAGGCCGATGCCGGTACTTTTCACGCGCTGAACTCAAACTGGTAATACAAACAAGTAAAAGTACGATATAAAAATATATCTAAACATTTACATAAAAAGTTGACGTTACACCTAAGCAAACAATACCAAAATATTAATTGAATCCTACCTCTTTTTAAGGTTTTCCATAAAGGAATCAAGAGAAATGTCCTGTAAAAGAACAAAATCTCCTATTCCCACGTCGCTAAAACCGGCCATGATGAATTTTGAACGAACTTCTTTATCTATACCCTCAAACACAATACCTTTCGTTGTAGCTCAGGGCAACACACCAATTGAGCAGTAGGCGAGTATGCACATGCGTTTGACAGTTTAAAATAACGTTATATGAAATGTTATTTTCCTTCCTTATCTTTTTATTATCGTACGGTAAAATTAAATGTCACATGCCTTATTAGTACCTACACAGTAAACTAAAGAAGATACATAACATTCGAACGCAGTGAAAACACGTCGCTTTCTGCTTAAATAAACAATGGGGGCAGAGTATTAATCTAGTTATTTTACTGTAAGTGTAACGTTAAGTGTGACCGTACAGAAAAGGATCAACGTGTCTTACTCTTTTTGTATATATATTATCGCTTACCTACGTATTCTGTTTACGAATAGATTGATTACAAATAACTTTAATGATATCGACATAAAACATTTTTGTAATCGTGTTTTTGTGTACACACTATCAGTATACTTTATAATAAAAACTGCAGTTTAAGCTCCATTATGATATTAGAGTCCCTTATCCCAAAAGGGACAAACGCAAGCTTACGTAGAATGTTTAAAAAAGTAAGAAATATTTCATCTGTCTATTCTCCAGCACCTGAAGCTTGATTATGTAACGATCACCTACTCCAAAAGGCACGTGAAGTACAAGGGAGCATCTCACATTATTCCCAATATTGTCCTAAAACACGAACACTTTGCTCAAATTTGAACCCGCCCCTGAAACAATCAGTGTTGATTAAGTACAATATAATTATAGAAAGAATGTAAAACTGTCTGGAAGAAGGTAAGATAGCAAAAAATAAATAAAATATACGAAATTTTAAGATGGCATAAATTGTATATATATATTTATATATTCTTAAGTATAGTGTACATGAGTTTGAAAGAACAAAATTAGAAAGTATAAAATATACGAAACTTCAATATAACATGAAAATATATGTAAAGTAGTTAAGATTGTGTAAAGCTAAAGGAAAATACGTTTTTGTCTTGAGGCATGAGGCCTCAAAACATACATATAGTACTGGTTGACGTATTTCCTGATTACAGGCATATTCCTAAAAAAAGGAAGGACCTACTTTCTTTACTTTAGGCTTTTGTACAGGTTTAAAACACTAAACCTGAAATTTCCTGTCTTCAGACAAGACCATACGATATAGAATTTAATAACTTTTACTTTTCATAACTTGAAACACGTGGTGGGGTTTTTATACCTCTTCTTTCTGCCTTCAGGCATGTAGTAATTGTTTTCATAAAGTGTAATTTCCTGGTTTCTTATATGAGGTGAAGGAATACGTACATTATACTTTCCTAGCTTGAGATATGTAGTGACGTTTTTATACCTGTTTTTTGTTGTGTGTGTGTGTGTGTGTGACAATAGGCATGTGTAAAATGTTTTCATTACTTTTCTGGCCTCAGACATTTGGTAAACGTTTCCATTTCTCTTACTCTGAGACAATGTGGTGAAAGTTTTTATGCTTCTTACTTCTTACTTTATAGGTTCATAAATCGTCTGTTTTCACCATTAAGGCACTTAGTACAGATTTATAAACATCATACAACTATACATTATTATATTAGAAACAGTGTTGTTGATGTTTTTATAAATGTTCGTTCGTCCTTTGTAGCTTTGTTGTTCAGCACTGTTATCGATTATTTTCACAATGTTCACATTTAAAAAACAAATCTAATCCCTTCACACCCTAACATATAGCTTTTTTGTATTGGCGTTACTTTTAAATTCTGTCACTTCAGATGATTAAAAAAAAGATACGCGCACTTACAAAATATACCTTCACAATTATTCAGCATTTTAAATAAACAGTAACATGTAATAATATAATGATTTAGAGATGTTGTAAGTGCCATTTATTCTATAATAATTTGTATTGAACTTTTTCGATATAACTATTTTCACCAGAGCTTTTTATTTTGTAATGTTGATATTACTCAACAGAGGGCAACAGCTCCTTGAACCATATATACTATTTGTTTTACTACAATTTTAAGTATTTAGTTGGGCTTCGTACAAATACGCAATTATAAAAAGTACATTTTTGTTCTTGAGTATATTGTAGGACAATAATTTGGGTACATAGGGAACGCTTAAGATGTAGACGAAATCTTACTCAAAGTTTGAAAGTTGAAAATTGTTTAACAGATGCCAAATGATAAAATATTGGGCAAAAATCAAAACTTTTACGTTGGCAAAAGAAAGACCATTTGTAATCCATGGAAACTTACATGAAAAAATAAAACAGGCGTAATTAAAACAAAACAAAACATTTCTTCGTTTGTTTTAGCGTAAAGCTATAAGTTGAGCTGCCCTCGCTACAAAAATAAATAAAATTGCGTGACTAAATAAAACAAAAAAGGTGCATCGGCGAGGTCTGGAATGATATGAGCGAAGAGTAGTTATAATGTAAAATTAATGTTGACCTTAAATCTCCCAGGAGTGAAACATTGAGGAGGATAAAAAAGGTTTAAAAGTTAATAAAAAACTCCAATGGCAAAAAAAAGAATTAACTAATCTTATACTGAAGATTTACATTATAACTTTGAGGTTAATAGAGGTCACTTTTATTTATCCCATACAAAATTATTCTTAAAAATGGAGAAATAACGAAATTATTTTGGCCGTAAACGATTAAATTCAACAAAACGAACTTAGACGTGTAACAGTTATATAGGTTTAAACTGTCGACAAACATTATTTTTGTGTACTCAATTAATTTTTGTTTCAGTTACATCAATTTATTTGAAAGACAATGATTGGAATGCATGACCACAAATGAAAAGGCGCTTTTTATTTTATCATGCACTGACTATTGATTCGTAACTCATTCTCAATAATTAACACGCGAACTTAATATTTCAAGTTGTTTGGTTGTGGACTAATATTATTACACTTAGTTACTACTTGCTGAACAGGTGATGATGTTATTTGTTTTTCCCACTCCACTGGCTTCGATTAGTATTACTAGGTAATGTGTAGGTAACCGCGTTGTTACAGATCCCATAAAATGTTAATTTTTTACTAGCTGAAAGAATTAAGAGGTAATAGTACATATGATAAAATTAGAAAATTAAAAATTCATTAAAACCTTTTACATTATTTTGGATTAACGACGTTTTATCCACTTAAACTTGTGCAAATAAATCTTTGTTTGCTCGAGAAATAAAGTTATTTTTGCTGTTTCCTTGTACACTAATTACCATCTACGTCAGCCAGTTTGTATTACCGTGTACAGATAAGAGCTTGAATACCTGAGTAGTGTGCAATTGTTAGTTTAATAAACCTGGGATCATAACATGTCCTGTAAGTAGAAATGTCCTTAAGGCTTTGTACCGCCCCTGCTTAGCCTTGCGTTATCCTTATTTAAAGCGAAGGGGTCCGATTTAGATTACATTACTAAACCTTAGAAATAACATGTCCTGTGAGTAGAAATGCCCTTAAGGCTTTGTACCGCTCCTGCTTAGCCTTGCGTTATCCTTACTTGAAGCGAAGGGGTCCGATTTACGTTGCTTTTGTATTAATTTTTGAAGGAAATTTTGGGAAAACATCGCAACAGTTAAGATTACACCCAAAGAAGAGACTTAAAGTCTTATGAGCTTTGCTTCCTATGATAACTCATTTGTTGAGAATTTCTCGAAAGTGGCCAGATATAAATATTCTTTGTAAAAAATCACAGATTTTCCCCATGCCCTCAATCAACTGCGGTTCCGAAAATTCTTTTCTGATATTTCACTGGTATGATCAGTTGAAACAGTATCATATCGACGTAGTTTCAGCGACAAAATTCAATAATCAATGTAGTATCTTTTCTCCTATTTTTTAATTTCATATATATATTTATATAATTATATATTTGCTCTTCTTTTTTCATTTTCTCCTCCTTTTCTTTCACATATTTTTCTCCTTTTTCTCCACGACCCAAAATTCTTCTCGAGTTTTCAGAACTTCAACATTGTATCCGTACTTTTTTGGACGCTTGTACGGAAGAATATTCACAAACAAACACGAAAGTGGTAAGATTAAACCGAAACAAAATGAGTGAAATACAGGCTGATGAAGGATCAAAGTATCAGTCACTTTTATTTTTAATACAGGAACAAGATGGAATAAAAAAGAAAAATCAGTGTGGATTACCTTTGTTTACGACCCCAGACTGATAACAAACGGGTTACAACATTGCAGGACTTGTGGATGCTAAGTAATGACCATGATAACATCACGTTAATTCTGACTGATTATCATTAATAAGTTTTTGTTCGAGTAGTGTGCAAATCCCACTTATATTTTGCGTGTAGAAATTATCAACAAACGGAGGCTACCATAATAAAAAGGTGTACAATAACTCTAAAAAAAAAAGTCAGAAGCGCATAAAATTCACCTTCGTTGTAGGTTAATATCTAATCAGAGAATTATAAAATCACCATATTTAATTAATTTATTGATTTTCAGTCAGACCACAATTGTTTTTTTTTTGGTCAACAAAAGAACAGTGAATGTAACTTTTCTTATTTAGACGTACATTTTCCATGTCAACTCAAGCTCTGTTTGAATCTGATTTGTGAAGCCCCAGCGATTTGGTCTCATTTAATTCAAAGAAATGAGCCACATAAATCTGGTCGAATGTTCCGTTAGTTAGCATAAAATGAAACGCAAAAGCAACTTTAATCAACAAACACACAATATTTCTTTGCAATAATTGCAAACACAAATTATACACATTGAAAGTGCAGTCAGACTTCAATTAAGATCTTAATCTTAAGTAAAATAAAATAATAATTTTCAATTCATCTTATTTCTTTAACTTTTTATCTAATTCTATATAAGATTGAGCCGTGCTTGAGCTTTAAATTTTAACTTTCATGTATTTATTTGCTTTTAAACAGTTATAATTGTAAAATAAAAAAAACTAGTTGAATTTGAACCTGCGAATCAAAGACAAAAAAAACAAACTTAAAAGTAGAAGTAATTTTATTACTAAATCCTTAAGTTTTATTGTTTTAAGTTAAGCTTTCCTTCGAGTTAGCCCCCCAGTGGCACAGCGGTATGTCCGCGGACTTACAACGCTAGAAACCGAGTTTTGATACCCGTGGTGGGCAGAGTACAGATAGCCCATTATGTAGCTTTGTGCTTTACAAACAAACAAACAAACCTTCTATAAAGTTCTTATATTTTTATATTAAATAGCTTATTTGTTGCTCTGGGAGAAGATTTTTGATTAAATAAAAGTCCAGAGATACAGTTTTGAGTGGATTATTTTTTTTTAACTTTATAACAACGTTTCGACCACTCGTGTGGTCATCATCAGGTAAACTGTCTATTGTATGAAATATTGCGCGAGCATTTGAGTGCTCGATTTCGTTGTCGTAAAGTTGAAAATTAAATAATCTATTCAAAAGCTGTATTTCTGGACTTTTATTTAAAATATTCAGTATATTTCCTCTCTTACAACGAGACTTTTGATGGTTTTAAAATCAACTTCTTTTTTTTTGTACTAAAGCGAGGTTTTGTTCTGATGATTTTTTGTTGTTGTTTTTGTTTTATAGCAAAATTTCCATCTTTGAATAAGTTTTTTTATTCTTTAGAATGAGTACTTTATTGTTGTAGAGAAGCTGAGGTACCCGTCCTTTGTCCGGATTATGAACTAAAAAAACTGTGTGGGTGGATGCTATGATAAGTAAAACAAAAATCCTAACTTTCACACATTTATTGATAACATAACATATTATTACAGTATTCATTATTACCTCACCAACAGTTTTGTATAGGATTTAATAACCCAATATGTATATATTTAAAACATGGTATACACGTTGCGATGGTCAGGATGACTTTGTAGGAAGAGGTAGCGCACAAAGTTGTGGCTGTAGGGCTGGTTTCTGTTACCCGATTTCAAGGCTCATCTCTTAATGTCCTTCCACAGTCTTTCATCATGAATAATTAATTGACGTTCATTGGCCATAGAAGTGTCTTACGAGCCGTAGATGAAAGTTCACGGGTCAAAGTAGGAAGTAGATATAACTCAAGAAACGGCTCTTCATATCAGCCTTACTTATGGTGGTCGTTGGAGTAGAAACTTCAGCTGATTTTATGTATTATTGCAATAGCGGTGGTCACTGCATTCCTCCGTAGAGAGTGCTTGCCTACACTCTGAGATATATAAGACGTTTGCGTGCCCTCCCTTCACTCTGTGTGTATGTTGTGTTATATAAAATGTAATAACGTTTGTTTTTGTTGTAGGGATGTGGCGCCGTCTATGAATGTAGTTAACGTTAACTTACGTCAAAGATAATGAATGCTCAATAACAACAATAATGGGGGGGGGGAGTTGTAGAGGGGGTTGTTAACACGCCCATTTTTCAAAACTATCATCTCATAAAATTTGGTTGAGATTGGCCCAGCGACCTGGAATAGTTAGATAATGGAAAACAGACAGGCACAGATTTTTCTGCTTTATATATATATATATATATATAGATAAAGCGCTTAGACCTTTCTGGAAGAGTTGTTTTATTCCTTTAAAACGAGTTATTTTATCATTCTGAAATTTACGTTTCTGTTGTTTTAGAACAATACCTTTCTTTATTCTAGTGGTTTAAAATAAGTTTTCCGTTATTTTACAGTAAGATGTTTCCTTGCTTTGAAACGATGTTTTGTGTGTTCTATAACTAGTTTTTTTTTCATTATTTTCAAACGATTTCTTATGTTATATTTTACCATTATTAGTTATCTGTTGTAACGCTTTTATTTAAATATAGAAGAAATGATTCAGTGGATCTTGAATTACAATTTATTGAAACATTATATGCTACAACGTCAGTAAATCATCACACTTCTGTAAAACACAATACATAGGTAAAAAAAAGTAGTGTTAGCATCGTTTACACATTTTTACCTTGAATCTACAATAAAAATGCTAAGTTTGAAAGAAAAGAATAAGCAAAGCCTTGGACAAGAAGAATTGAGAGTCTCATACAAGAAACATAATCAAAGTAGAGAAGTTTACATGTGATGGCATCTGAAGAGAAAGATATCACTTAGGATATTTTATGTAGGCAATACATAAGAAAAAAGAGAAAACAACTAATTTCCTTAATTACTTATACTTTCTTTAATTTGACAACTGGCAGGTGACCATAGTTTACAGAACATGACGTGACTAGAATCAAATTCAGTTGCGAGCAGTGTTAGCCCTAACTATCCACAATGCAAATCCATTAAATTTTATGCGTATTTAAGTATGGAAATTAGTATTAATCCCTAGGTATTTTAGATGAGGAAATTGGCTTGGTATTAGATGAATCTGGTGCAGAAACCAAGGTTTATTCATGAACTTATATCTGAAAGTTGTCCGTAGGTTATACGTAATTAGGCTTAGGAGGTTGGCTTGGTGTTATACTGTATGTATCTAGATAGTAAGTTGTACTGAAAATTATTGAAGTGTAGAAATTCACTTAAGCTTTGAATAATTAGAAATTATTTCGAAAATGCAACATCAAATAAGACTTGTATTTTATCATAACTTCAAGTCCTAAATATTTTAAACGCAGCACACTTTCATAAAAAGTGCTCAAATTTTGTTTCATTTTTCAGTACAGTTTCTGAAAGTGGTATACAGCTACTTCACACAAAGATAATTACTCTGCTTATCACTTTAGGATGAAATAGGTAAACAAAATACTTTACGTATTTACTAGTTCTTTGAGCAAAAGAGAATGTAATATTTAAAGTTGGAGAACAACGTTTTGATATCAAAATACTTCATACTGGTTTCACTATTATTGCAGGAGTTCCAGAGATTTCAATAATGGTCACACAGTAGAATTCCAGAGATTCCAATAATGGTTACACAGTGGAATTCCAGAGATTTCAATAATGGTTACACAGTAGAATTCCAGAGATTTCAATAATGGTTACACAGTAGAATTCCAGAGATTTCAATAATGGTTACAATGTAGAACTCCAGAGATTTCAATGTAAAAATTTTTTGGAATTCTACTGTGTAACCATTATTGAAATCTCTGGAATTCCACTGTGTAACCATTATTGAAATCTCTGGAATTCCACTGTGTAACCATTATTGAAATCTCTGGAGTTCTACTGTGTAACCACTTGGTTACACAGTAGAATTCCAAAAATTTTTTACTGGTTGCACAGAGACTTGCCAAACATATTTTTGTGTCATTTTTACTTCTTATTATAAACGAATTTTCTTGGAGATACAACACTAGTGTAAAACGTCTTCTTCGCCACTTTCGTAGTATTTATACTGTTTCTATAAGTTACTTTTGTCATCTTTCAAGTAGTAATTTGAAAATTGCTTAAACTCTGGCCGTTAGGTGTCTTGAAGGTGGCAAAAAAGCTTGTTGCGTTAAATCTGAAATCGTAATATTAGCGCGAGTGTGAGTCTTGATAAAAGAAAAGACTATTGTAATGTTCATTTTTATAATAAATAGCTATTCAAAGTTCTAAACTCTATGATGACACAAACCATCTTGGTACATAGGACTAATGTGCTTCCAACTACATAGTATTGCAGGTAGAATTACTTGAAAAAATACTCCAAACCGAAAAGAAAACGTTTTCTTCACCTGAATGTGTACATTTTTTTATGTAGAATTTTAAACAAAATTTGACTTCAAGATTCGAATTGCGCTAAAATAAAAAAATATATAAAAAAAACATTAATATGTGATAATCAGATTACCGTATCTAAAGTTCAGAAAAACTGTATTTATATGTGTGTTTTATTATAATTTAATATTTTAATGAGTCAAATTATTTTTCACTGTCGAATAATTTAACAGTGGAATTTTGCTATGTTACTTGATGGACTGCACTGTATGTTCAATGTGAGTTTGTCTGTATGTCTACATGCCTCCTAGAGCTATACTTAGTTAGTTATTTTAGAAGTACTGATTATAAAACATTTTTTACAAAACGCATTTAGAAAATTATAAAGATTATACAAGATCGCTAACAAATCTGCTGATAATAAAAATACTTCTTATTTTGTTCATAATATAAACAAGACTTAATTAAGAAAGGCCTGACGTGTGTCTGTCCGGCGACAGTGAGCAGAGAAATAGGTAGCTTATGAGAAAACTAAAGGATACAACACCGCATCGGGTGGATGAGTAAAATATGATTTTGAGAAACCAGTTGGACGTTTCTCCAGCTGTTTGTCCTGTAAGAAAACAAAAGTAAACATTACTTTGCTAATTTATGGAGGTTGAACACTTTAAGAGATTAAGTATTCTAGTGGTGTTTTTATCTATTTTTTGTTGAATTTCGTGCAAAGGTACTCAAAGACACTGTACAAGCTGACTCTAATTTAGAAGTGATAGACTAGAAGGAAGGCAAATAGTCAACACCACCCACCGCCAACTTTTGGGCTACTCTTAATCAACGATTAGTGGAACTGATCGTCACTTTATAATGCCTTCATGGCTGAAAGGACGAATGTGTTTGATGACAGGTTTCGATCTCGCGACCTGCAGATTACACAGACCTGAGTAAATTAGCCACCAGGCCATGCCAGATCATTTTAGTGAATGTTGTCCTAGAAATTACCCTGGAAATTAAAGCTTTCATAAGATAAACTATTCTATTGTACACTTTCAAAAAATAAACTTTCGTACATAAAGTATTCTTATGAAGCGTATGCTCCATTATTTCACCAATGTTAAGCTCATTAACAGTATTGGCTAGAATATTTAATATATCTAATTTTATTATTTATTATTATAATATTGTCATTATGGAGATTATTTTGTACTGGTAGGTTGGTATATGCATTTAGGGCTAACCTAAATTTACTAAACTGGCCGAAGTTTGTAAGATATTATCGGAATTACGACCAAAAAATCGTTAACAACGAGGATATCCAACTGATGAAAGAGTGAATTCTAATCTTTATACGTAAGGACATAAGAAAGGTATATTTAATTAGCTATAGTCACTACGACGTTGATTTTTAGTCTTGATCTAATTAGGTAGCTTGCTTTGACAGAAAGTTAATATTAACTATCCAGTAAATGGAATATTTTAGCAAATTACGCAGCCTGGTAGAGAATTTCCAGAAAATTAAAAAACTTTAGTATAATATTTTGGCGAATATTGTCTTACAAATTAAATACTTTAGGAGATTTTGTATTTTGGTAAATATTATCCTGCAAATTAGACTACGTTTAGATATTCATGGGGTTATTTGTTCTGATTAGGTGCTATGACAAAAATATTTCATCTTTGATAAGGATTTAAATTAAACGTGTTAAAATATCAACAGTTCAGGTACAACAAAACTAAAATAAAGCGGTTGAATATGAGGAAGGTGAATGTGTTCACACAACGAAAGTATTATGGCAATCGCGCGTGATATATGTCAAACATTCACACAATTTACGAAACATATGAGCTGTGTGTGTGAAATAGGTCAAATATTCAGAAAATGAACGAAGCATGGAGGATAGTTGCGAGGAAAGTACAAATATTCACACAACGTACAAAGCATGGGAAATTATTACGAGGAAGGAACAAATATTCACACAATTCACAAAGCATGGGAACTGATTACTAGAAAGGTAAAAATATTCAGATAATGAACAAAACATGGGAACTGATTACGAGGAAGGTAACAATATTCACACAGTGAACAAACCATGGGAGATGGTTGCGAGGAAGGTAGAAATATTCACACAGTGATCAAACCATGGGAGATGGTTGCGAGGAAGGTATAAATATTCACACAGTGAACAAACCATGGGAGATGGTTGCGAGGAAGGTAGAAATATTCACACAGTGATCAAACCATGGGAGACGATTGTAAAAATATTCACGCTTTGAGAGTATTGTGGCAGTCGCGTGTGATATAGTCTAAATTTTCATGTAATACACAAAATATGACAGGTGCATATGAAACAGGTAGAATATTCAAACATTGCAACAATCATTTTCTCCTTCTGTCGTAAGTCAATGTCCAGAAGTCCTTTTGTCTTCTACCGAAATCCATTAATTATAGACTGAAAACTTGATAAGCTTATGTTTTTAGATATGTATATTTTACGTTCATATAAGGGTCTTTTAGAAAACAAATAGTAAATTCAGGCGTCTTTCCAATTTTAATATTTGAAAAGGTTTTCGTTGTTCAAAACTTGAAAATAGCGTTGATAACTGGACCAATTGTTGGTTGAGATGTTGCAAAATAAACACCTCGACTTTCAAGATCTATACCTACATGAGCCGATGTTTCCATTTATCAACATTATATTTTAAGATCTGTGCAAGAACTCATCTAACAGTTGTTTCCATATATCAAAGCTATCTTCAAATTTTAATATTGCATAGCTGAAAGGAGAAAAAAAAAATTACTTGCAGCCCGGTTTTACAAAATCGTAATTTTTTGTTTATTAACGAGTATTGATAAACTTGCCTTTAATGTGTCTTATTTTCGAAGTGATATTTCTGAAAGCAAAATTTGGTTTGCAAGTTTACGAGATGTTTGGTGGGCAGTTGTTTGAAAGAAAGTTACTTCATATGAATATGTATTTAATATTTGCGTAAAGCACGTTACAAGAAAGGATAAGTTGCATTGTGAGGATTTAATACTGGTCTTAATCCTGAAAAGCTACTTAGTGGGTAATATGTGGCAAATTTGGGACCCCACTGTCATATCCGGAAGAAAATTCGAAATTTCGTAGTTATGGGTTTTGAGGTATGCTCATTTCAAGTGATTCAGAGGAATCTTCTTCATGCTGAAAATTTAGGGGAAAAATAGTTAAGGTTGGGTGTTCGAAAGTGGATGTATTGTGAAGTTTGACTTTCTGAATAGTTCCTTTAAACCATTATTTGGTGAGTGTGTGTGTGTGTGTCCACTTATAAGTGGCGAACTATTGGCCCGATTGTTACCAAAGCTGGCATATATCCTTAGGCTCTCAGGAAAGTGGCATTGTGTGGGGTAGGGGTGGGGTCGGATCTGGAATTTTTCCATAAGACGACATTGAATTACACCACAGTCATGAACGTTTCTCATCCAATTAACGTTCTTTAACTTTTACATCAGCCAACTTCATTTTTTTTTATCAAGACACACATATGCTGGAAAGTAAACAGTTTTTAAGCCTTAATTTTTAAAACGTTTAATATGCTTTAAGTAAGCATTTGGCTCTGGTTTCACATTTAAACTTATTTCTGAGGTATTTGAAAAGTTTTTCTGTTTTCAGTTGTTGACTAGAATCTTCCCTTACACATGGTACATGTGTTAAACTTACACGTGGTGCATGTGTTAAAGTTACACGTGGTACATGTGTTAAACTTACACGTAGTGCATGTGTTAAAGTTACACGTGGTACATGTGTGAAACTTACACGTGGTGCATGTGTTAAACTTACACGTGGTGCATGTGTTAAACTTACACGTGGTACATGTGTGAAAACTTACACATGGTGCATGTGTTAAACTTACACGTGGTACATGTGTTAAACTTACACGTGGTACGTGTGTTAAACTTACACGTGGTACATGTGTGAAACTTACACGTGGTACATGTGTGAAACTTACACGTGGTACATGTGTGAAATTTACACGTGGTACATGTGTTAAAGTTACACGTGGTACATGTATTAAAGTGCGCACAGTTGATGTGTAGCTAGTGAGAAGTGGTGAGTTACTACTGCACATGATACTACAGCGAACACAGATCTGATGAAACATTTACAATGAATATAACCATACTTTTAGACTCTGATAGTGACAATCCTCTGAGAAGTTATAATGTTATTAACTTCAACTTGTTACATAACGAAAATATATTCAAGAAAATAAAACTTTTGACAAACCAGGCTACTCCACGTCTTTTTTATTACTTTGGGATGAATGTTCTTAAAAGTTTCCAAACATATAAAAACAGAAGATCCTATGGGGGGGGGGGGGGCATAACTTGCTACTATAGTTTGATTTGTTTGTAATTAAGCACAAAGCTACACAGTGGGCTATCTGTGCTCTGCCCATCACGGGTATCGAAACCCGGTTTCTAGCGTTGTAAGTACGCAGACATACCGCTGTGCCACTGGGGGGCCTATAGTTTGAAAGGGAGGGATTGGTCAGATCACTAGCCTCTCTGAAAAATCTGAAATCATCTCGTGTTATAACCCCTGTGTACAAAATCCTATTCTTTCTTCCAAAATCGAACATCCCAGCCACATAACTGCAACGCCAAAATACCTCTTGTGAATTTTAATTTCTTTGATTCTCCATTTCTTTTTCTCTAAATATCATGAATGTTGAGTACAAAATATTTTGAGTGATAGTAGCCATTTGTAATTCCATTAGTATACATATTTAATTAAATGTACTTGAGAAAAAAAGAACCAACAAATAAACTTGACCAGTAATATAGTGAAATTGAAGAACTCGATGTTAGGATTTCGTTTTCATTTTCAAAATTATATATTCTCCAAGATACTTCCAATTCTTGTACAAGAAATGCGACAAAGTAAATTTTCATTTTATTTACTCATGAGCTTTATTTGTATTATATGAAAGATAAATATAAAATGTCAAAATACGATTAAAACAAAAGAAGGGAACGCGAAAACTAATATATATATATGTATATTTAACAACATCAAAACATTATTGTCATTTCGGTGCATAGTGTCAACAAAAACATGTCTGATTTAAATAATTTTCACTTTCAGAAAGCTTTGGTTTTATGGCATAAAAATGGGAAACTGTCTGTTACTCTTTACTCTTTTATATATTTATGCTTCATGCGTCTTTTTACGTAATTTACGTTTTTTCTAAGGATATGATTTTTAAAAAAGAATAGCAAAAGGTTGTTGATAACTCTTTAATTTACGTTTTTTCTAACGACATAATTCCAAAAAAGTAAAGAACAAAGAATTGTTGATAGCGCTTAAGTTACGTTTTTTTTCTAACGATACAATTACCAGAAACAAGAAATGATTGTTGATTGCTTCTATTTGTTTGTTTAGCGCAAAGCTGCACAGTAAGCTATCTGCTTTTTATCCACAGGTGGGAATCGAACCTCAGATGTTAGCGTTTTAACTGCAGGAGCGTACCGATTATCCACCGAAGGAGTTGTTGATTATGCTTAATTAAATTATTTCTAACGCTATAATTCCCAAAAAGAACAATGGGTTGTTGATAACTCTGGACTTTGTGAGTTATAGCGTTAGAAAGCATCGTAAGTTCAGAGTTATCAACAACCCATTGTTCTTTCTGTGAGTTATAGCGTTAGAAAGCATCGTAAGTCCAGAGTTATCAACAACCCATTGTTCTTTCTGTGAGTTATAGCGTTAGAAAGCATCGTAAGTCCAGAGTTATCAACAACCCATTGTTCTTTCTGTGAGTTATAGCGTTAGAAAGCATCGTTAAAGAACAATGGGTTGTTGATAACTCTGAACTTACGATGCTTTCTAACGCTATAACTCACAGAAAGAACAGAGTTGGTGATAATTGTTTGTTTTGCATCTCCTTGTAAAATGGAAAATGATTACGATAGTTACTGTTTTGTAATCACTAACCCTAAGTAGCTTAAAAGTAACAAAATATTGTTTGTTAATGTCATATATAAACTTTTATTTACAGACAATTTGGCTTACACCATTTCTAGGGTATGTTGTTCAGCAAGCAGCTTGATCATTACAACAACTGTCTGATGTTAGGAGTAAAAACAAAAGTTTTTCCGTGCAGTGATAAGGGTTTAAAAGTATATAAATTTTAGTTAAATTTCCAAACGGATATTCTGTATTATTAAAAACCAGAAAATTTAAGCAAGACCGATGGATTGTTTGTTTTTGTACAATTTCGCGCAATCTAATCGAAAATCAAAATTGACGTTATGACGCCAACACGGCTAAAAGTGGGAGCACATTCGGTGATGAGATTCGAACCTGAAACCCACAACCTGCGAGTCGAGAGCCTCAACCACCAGACCAAACTGACAGAACATGGAGTAAAAAACAATTTTAAAGGTGTGTCGTAATTTTCTTATTTACTATGATGTAAAATAGACTGGTGTCAGATTGTGGAACTTCGTGTTACGTAAATATTATCCAGTGCCACGCGAAAGGTGTACTGTTTTCTTACATCATAAACAACATTATAATGGCACCGTGCCATTAAAAGCGAGTGTTTACCATATTTACCCATCGATTCAATTTTTGTTCGAGGAAGTTAAGATTTGTTTTAAACCATTTCCTGGTTATTTATAGACTTGAGGATTTGTTTACTGAAACCCTCACTAATATAAGGAATGATTAATTTGCTGCATGTCTTTAAGCGGGTTCAAAAATGCCTTTAACTTATTCAAATTGCACGATATAAAGGAGATTTACAACGTGACACTCTTTCGATATCCTAGCCTTGCTAGACTTATTATTCAAGGTATTGTCAGTTTTGTGAAATTTATAGCTGATTATAGGATAATGATTTATCTGTAAATGTCCTGTTGTTACTTGTTAAATGCTTTACCATACATATGTCGCTAGGAAAAATGTTTGTTTGTTACGGATTTCGCGCAAAGCTACACGAGGGATATCTGCGCTAACCGTCCCTAATTTAGAAGTGTAAGCCTAGAGGGAAGTCATCACCACCAACCGCCAACTTTTGGG